TCTAGGCTGTCTGAAGTTTGCAAGAATGCAACATTCACACCTAAAAACAGCCAATCAAGCAGCGTGGCTCACTGTAGATGCTATGGTCTTACATGATAGTACAACCTTAGGAATCCTCTGTGTGCTCGTGCACGGATGAGGAGGTGAGCATTGCACATGTGCACAATTATTGTGGCGGCATCTGGAAGACACTGAGTACCTTCCTTTGTCAATCTCCACCTTGGTTTTTGAGAGAGGGCATCTCACTGAATCTGGAGCTGGCCATTTCAACAAGACTGGATGACCAACAAGGATCCACCATTCTCCACCTCTCCAGTACTGGGATTACAGATGCCAACACACCCTGCTTAATTTTACATAGGTGCTGAGGATCCAAACTCAGGTCCTCATGTTTGTGTGGCAAGAACTTTACTGAATGAGCCATCTCCCCCATGCCCTAAGAATCTTTATTAAAAAAAAAAAAAATTCACGTATTATTTTTATTTTATGTGTATGAGTACTGCCTGCATTTATGTAAGTGCACCCGTGTCATGCAATGCCCACAGAGGTCAGAAGAGGGCACTGGATTCCCCTGGAACTGGAGTTACAGAGGGTTGTTAGCTGTCATGTGGGTGCTGGGACTCAAACCCGGATCCTCTGCAGGCACAGTCAGTGCTCTTAGCCGCTGCCCATTTCTCCAGCTCCAAAATCTTTTTTTTTCAAAGGTCGGAGGCTTAAGACACTTTCCTGTGCACCACACTGCCCCTCAGTACCTCCCAGCTTCCTTCTAGATGCGTACCTCCCTTAGATTTTTGCAACTTCTAAAATTAACCTAGGTGGGAGGCTCTTACTGTTGAGATTGGAGGGCAGCCCTGGCTAACACTATCAGAGGCCATAAGCTGAGCAGCAGGCCATTCCTGTCATCCTTCCCTTCCCCGAAGGCGCTCTTCCCACCTGCTTGCTTGGAAGCCGTCTGGGGAAGGGCTGGCATGGCGGACACAGCCTGTTTCCTGCTTTCTTCTCCTGAGCCTGCTGCAGCTGACATATACCCCAGTTCTAGGTAGGCTTCTTCCCCTTTCCCCTCTGTCCTTTTGGTGTTTTGTTTATTATCTAGGGTTCTGTCTCTGGGAACATTCCAGCCAGGGATTACATAAGCCTTTGAAGATGAGTAATGGTGATCTGGCTTCTCCACAGGGGTTGAGGATGACTCAAGGGTCTGTCAAGGGGCGCTACAGGCAGGTGCTTTAGGAGATACCAGGAGCTGAAAACAGTCTACATGTTCTACAGTCTATATGTTCTGGTAGGACTGGGGGAGGTAGACGCATTTTGATTTCTGAAGTTAGGAATATGACAAGACAGGCATGTCCTCTGGTGACTGTTCTGGATGTAGCTATTGAACATGTGAGATGCGATGGTACTCCTTGCAGAAAGTCCATGCACTGTGGGTGATGCCAGGGCGACAATCTGTTAGAACTTAAGACCTAACAATTTTGATTTTTAAAAATTTTATGTGTCTGAGTGTTTTGCGTGTATGTATTTAAGCGCATCACATGCATGCAATGCCTGTGGAGGTCAGGAGAGGGTGTCAGATTCCCTGGAACTGGAGTTACAGAGGCTATAAGTCCCCATGTTGATGCTGGGAACTGAACCTGGGTCCTCAGTGCTGTTAACTGCTGAGCCATCTCTCCAGAACTAGAACCCAAGACTTATTAGCTGCCTCATTCAAAGTGCAGTATTAGACTAGAACAAAACGTGATGAGCCCACAAGGATTCTAGCCCAAACAGTACCAGGGCTCCTGGGGTGGCCTTCAACTCCAGGAGAGAAGAGGCTTGGGCTAGCTGTAGTTCTCACCTGTCAAGTAGGTTCTGTTCTATAACCCATTCAGCCCTAGTGTCTGGGTTGTGGCCAGTCTGCCAGCCCTGAGCTAGCTTTGCAGATGTCAAAGAAGGGACAGAGCAGAGGAAGACATCTAAGGGGCTGCCATCTGGTGACCTGAAGCGGGGCAGCTATGAAGGGCGATGACAAAGGAAAAAAACCTTCCCTGAAAGGCAGGCCAGCCTGCAACTGCTGGGAGTGAACTGAGCTGGGAGATGAGGTGGGTAGCTGTGGCTCACGAGGGCAGCCCAGGGGTGAAAGCAGGAGGCTATAAATAGCAAGGTATGAGGAGGCTCTGTAAACAGAGCCTAGCCACAGCACCAGCCCTGGAGGAGAAAGCAGGCAGGAAGCACACAGAGCCCTCAGGAGTCACACTGCCCAGTTTCTGGGGAGCAGCAGGAACTCTGACCCCGGGGGAAGGTCTGTGTATCCCCATGCCAGGACACACGACCACAAACACCACCATGCAGGCCGCCCACTCTCCATCATGGAGACTGGTTGCCTTTACATGTTTACTGAGGCAGTAAACATGTCAGCCTGGGCAGTGCTGACAGAGCAGAGAATGGTGGAGTCATCATCTTGCCTCTGTAATGCTCCTCCTCTCTTAAGGAGGGTAAGGCACTGCCTCAATCTCAAGGCAAGAAACATGTAATGTAAAAGGAAAATAAAGATGTGGCTGGAGCAGTGGTGGACTGCAGGACCTAGTTCCCTCTAGCTGTGTCTTGTTAGGAGGTTGCCAATTGGGCACAACTACGGCATTATTCTAATCCTTAGGGGCTTGGTGGCCTGGCAAGGACTGTTCTTACACTTGACTCCAGGAGACTGTACCAGGATTAGAGGTCAGAAGGGAAGGTGAATAAAAAGGTGATGTCCCTACTTTCTCCCTGGTCTTCAAGTCTACAGTTGCTGCTCCTGTCCATGAGTGTCTCCTTCTGTGACCTTCATAGGCATCCTGGTTCCTTCCTGTCAGGGCCCTGGAGGTCCTTCTTGGTCAACAGCCCCCATGAAGGCTGTAACTAGATTTCTCAGAGTGCTAAAATAATTTTTGGGAAAAAAAGTTTTCTAAAATTAGCTTATAGGGCCAGGGAATACAGCTTAGTCTGAAGTCTGGTTTGATCCCTAGCTCTGCATAAAACCAGGCGTGGTGATGAATGCCTGGAATTCCAGAACCAGGGAGGTGGAGGCAGGAGGACCACAAATTCAAGGTGACCATTGACTACATAGCAAGTTGGGGGCCAGTCTGGGATACATGAGATTCCATCTTAAAAAGAATGAAAGAAGATCTACACCTTTGAAGCACAAACACTAAGCTTTTAAAACTCAGTTCAGCACTTCATGAATAGGAATATGGATATTCCAGGAAGAGAATTCCTTACAGTTGGAGAGTTGTGGGGACTAAGAGACAAAGAGATTCATTTCACCAAGTAAACATTAAAAACTAACCTGTTAGTGAATTAGGAGAACTGGACCTATAGTAATAACAGTAATAAGAGACTTACAGGGAAGCCACTGAGGATTTGTGACTGCCTAATCTATCCTTGCCTTCTCCAGAGTCCCCATTTTCACTCTTAACCCAGGAACCAGTTTATCATACACATATACATACATACATACATGCATGCATAAAAACACAGTGTACAGTAGCTGGGAGCTAAGGACAGTGCTTGAACCTTCCATGGTGCTGATGAAATCAGTATGTTTCCATCCACTAAGATGGGTTATGCAACCTGATCATAGGAACCATTTCAGTCAGTAACTTGATTACCATCTGAGTCTGTATTTTTTCTGTGATGTCATCTAAGGATGGAGGTCTTTAAGTATAGATTTCTGTGAAACTTAAAACACCATTTAAAAGCCGTATTTCAGGTTAACTGCTAGTTGCAGAACTATGCCCATTACACATCTGCTTAAAAGTGGAGTTTGCTAGCTGGAGGTATGGGCAGCCTGGCAATGCAAATGCTGAAAAATGGAGGTTTACAAAGGAAGGATGAGAATTCTGCAGTCAGGGCAGGTAAGGGCAGAGGGCCAGGTCATCTGAGAATGCTTGGCTGTATCTCTTGGATCTTTTAAAGCAGGAACAAAGGAGAACGGATGGAATCAAATTTCCTCAAGCTGTCAGGAAGGCTGGGGCAGGCACAGGTTGATGACGGATGGCCTGGAACTCTGTATCAGCTCACCTGAACTTGCTGTGGGTCTAACGACGGGCACTTTGCTGTAGGAAATGCTACTTACTGTCTCCCCAAGTGGAGAATTCTCATTGTGCAGAAGGCCTTCTGAAGACCAGAGTTCCAAACAGGCTGGAAGCCCAGTCCCTAACAGTGTCAGAGGGTTCTGTCATGGCCTGTCACCTCTGTACATGAGTGACTTAGCAATGTCCAGACAACAAGTCAAGTAGACCCTGATGTACCACTCCGCGTTGGTGCTTCAAGCTGGATGCGGGATGCACTGGCCTCAAGTTGGAAGGGGAGCACAGACATCTTCCATCTGAGGTCATTTTTCATCCCTTGGGAAGGAGACTTCTAACATCATAGAAGTTCAGTTATAAAGATCAGAACAGGAAAGACACCAGGTGGCGTGAAGTCCAAGCAAGGAAAAGAGCTGTCTTAACTTGACATTGCTCAAGGAACCCTGTCCTTCTCTCTGTGGCAGCTCAGAAGGTGGAGCAGAGATGGTGTGAGGTGCTATTGTGGTTTCATTTTAAGGCCAATCTACTACACATGGGGAGGCCAGACTCTCCAGAGTGGCAGCCTAGTATTCATGAGGACCCAGACCAGAAAGAAACATTTCAAACTGGGTACTACTCAGCTTCATCAGGGATAAACGGGCCCCATGGAGCCTCCCTGAGAAAGCTATAGGAATGATTCCTGCAGGAAGAAGTCTGCACTAGGACATGTGAGGGGTCTGTTTCTTACCTTCTCAGTCATGAGCCCTGACTCATGTGAGATTTGTCTCATTTGGAAGCACTGGCTTACAGAGATACATGGCTGCGTATTTACATGCATATGCATGTTGATCACACACATAGTTGTTAAAGTGATGTTACAAGGGCAGGTCTATTTCAGCATTAGTTTTTCTATGGCCCAGGGTATAAATGAGGTTAAGTTCACAAACTATGGTGCTGTAGGCTATAGAAATATCTACTCACAACCTGCTTGTATCTCAGGGGGAGAATTCAAAAGCATCATGGCACTGGCAGCATCAATGTCAGGATCTGGAAAAATCAACCAATAAATAACATTATTTACAACGGGGCTGGTGTGTATGTGCTTTCCCCCTGCAAGTTACAGCTTATTAATGCAAAAGAGGGGAAAAAAATTCAGGAACTCGATGAGTTATCTCAAAGGTGACTTTCTTACCATGTGGATTTGAGAGGAAGAAAAGGGTATTCTAGAGTGAGATTCAAGGAATATGTTAGTAATATTTTTTTAAAATCGATGAACACAGTATCTTCTTGCTTTGTTAATGTTGGTACTTGCACTGTGGGTTTCTGATAAGCTGCTGATCTATGCGTCCCTCAGCTTTTCCCCTAGGGTGGAAGAGGAAAGTAGGTAACAATAGACAGTTCAGCCTGGGAATCGTTAATGCTGGGAGAAAACTCAGAGCATCAAGAAGAGAAGGCATTAAATACACCTGCATCCAGCAAGATATAAACAAGACATTGGCCATTTCCATTTGTCAGCAGAATGTAAATCGTGTTTCATGAGGTTATGTGTGCACACGGCAGTGTTGGAGGCAGTGAAGGCATGAAAAAAGCACTTACATATAAAGAAAAAATTAAAAAGTTCTGATGTTGAAGGCACAGTGCTTACATGCCGATCTATTATTGCTTTTAATCTGCCCCCCCCAATATTCATCACTTTATTGCTATAATTCTTAATAGGTTTCTGAATCCTTACCAATCCACCAGTTGACAGATGGAAGGTTATATAGAGACAGAGAAAAATATTATCCTTTTATAACTAAATTCATTTTCCTCTGAGAAACAGCAGTGCTGCTGCTATGGAAATGAAGATCACCATGGCAACGGTAAACAACCCCCAAGAATGGTCACTGAATAGGCTGAAAAGAACATCTGCCCCAGCCAGCATCCCAGCTGCCCTGGGGCGAAATTCGCTAATAGTGCAGTGGGGCCCCATGACAGAAGCTGCCGTCTGTCCCCTGTCCAAATAAATGAAGTGTGCAATTGAAGTCGACATCAAAATGCCTGCCCTTGTAGATTACTGCCTCTGTGTCCGCTAAGCCCAGTGACTAATGACTGGGGAGAGGGGACCCCACACTTGTCAGTTTTTGTACAAATTACATACCAAAAAATTCAATTTACTACTAATGGCTCCATGGCACTTTATTTGGGGTATTATGCGAGAAAATTACTTTTTTACTGTTTAAAAAAGTACATTTTTCATACTTTATATGTGCAGTTTAATTCCAAGGGAGTAATGCGATGTAGGATAAAGCCCCATGAACGATTAATAATATGGATGCTGCTGGTTTCAGAAGACAATACCTCAGGAAAAAAAAAGGTAAAGAAACTCTACTCTGCAGGCCTTTTTCTATTTTGCCTGCAGGAGGCCTGTTATTTACACTCCATAATGGAGTAAAAGTTTATTTTAATAAGTACATTGTATGAGAAACAGGTAAATTAACTTCCCTGGTAACTCCTGCAGTGACATTCCTGTCATCCTTCCCGGACACTGACACATGTGGAACGATTCACTGAAAAGCTTCAAGCCCCACTCACTGCTCACGGGTCCCCACTTGCCCCAGTGAGAGTCTCAGACATCCCTGGTTCCAGGGTGGCCCCTATCTGGAAAGGACCTTTTGCTTTCTCAGTGAGGAGCCGAAACAGGCACCTTTTCTTGCCATGCAAGGGTGCATGTGCTACAGGTGACCTGGGTTTAACTGGCCACATGGTCCCTATCTCCCCAGGTGACAGAGGAAGGGAAAACCTACATATGAAATCAGGAGTCCTTTGCTTTTTAATTGCTTGAAAATGAAAATTCCACATTCTTCAAGTCCACACTGGAGCTCAGGAGGAAGCCTGAGGGCCACAGATCAGCAGAGCCATACTAAAGAAATAGGAAAGAGAGAAAAAGGCAAAGAACAGCAAACAGGATTCTGGAAGAACCCAAGCTTGGGGGAACACAAGAGTCACCATATCCCCATGATGCCCACTCTACCCAAACCAAGTCAAACAGACATGCCAAATAAGCAGACATGGATGACTGCCCCCTCATCTTTCCTGATGCGTCCACGCCTGACGCCCTTCCATGGTCTTTCCAGGCCTGATGCCTCCCTCCATAGATAAATATGCTAATACTGTCAAGGAATTCATTCCGGTCTCCAGGCATTATGGCTGAGTATAACAGGTAGGCTTTTCACCATCTTGTGCAGGATACATCCCTGAAGGGCCATCTAATGCTTCTAAGATTGGTATGGAAGGCAGGGCGTGGGATTCTCCCCCCGCCCCCAAACCATTGGCAAACACTAGAACCACATAACGGTATATGCTCATATACATCAGCACCCCACTGTGCCAGCCTCACTGCACTCCATGGGGATCCAATCACCTGCACGGAGAGGTGGCTTCCATACAACACAATCATCTCTTTTAAGTGTGGCATCTGGTGGGTTTTTATAAATTTTATACCCAGGCTACAACGACTGACCTTAATCAAGATGAGCACAATAAATCAAAGTTTCCAGGTGGATGCTATCTATCCTTGCCCTGAGAAACCACTGATTTGCTTTTGGTTTTTCATCTGCAATGGATGTGGTATCAGAACTTCATCCTTTAGGGCTATTATCAAGTAGCTTCTACTGGATGGCTATACCTCCATCTGTTTATCCATTCATTCTCTTGTAGATTGATATTTGATTTGCTCCTAATTTGGGGTATTACAAAAAAGTTACTATGAACGTTTTCATCAATCTTCTAGGACATGTTTTCTTTTTTCTTGAGCAATTGTTGGAAGGAATATTATAGGGAGCAGTTAAGCCACTCTCTAAAGAGAATATACAAGGAATGAGCTCTAGTTGTTCCACATTTTGTTAGCACTTCAAATTGTCCACTTAAAAAATTTTAGCCGTCGGGACTAGAAAGATGGCTCGGTGGTTAAGGGCACTGGCTGCTCTTGCAGAGGACCTGGGTTCAAATTCTAGCACCCACATGGTGGCTAACCAGGGGATCTGATGCCTTCTTCTGACCTCTGCAAGCATTGCACAACATGGGTGCACTTACACACATGCAGGCAATACACTCATACACAAAAAATATAAATATTTTCAAAAATTTTTAGCCATCTAGTGGGTACATTAGCAGTATTTCGATGTGGTTTGAAATCTGTATTTTACTAATAACAAATAGTGATGAGCAATTTTTTCATGTGTTAAATGGCCATTTGTGTATGCTCCTTTGGGAAAACACTGTTCAAATAGTTTACCCATTTAAAAACTGGGCTGTTCAACTTAGCTACATGGCTTCTTTAAATATTTGGAGTCTTTGAAGAGATATGTATTTTTCTTAGTCCATAACTTACTCAGTTTTTTTTAACAGCATATTTCAATGAAGTCTTTAATTTTTATATGATCCAATTTACTATTCTTTTACAACTGCCCACATTCACAGGTAAATAAAAATGACAATAACCTTCTTCATCCCATATGCTGTCCGTACACAGATCCCTTAGTATTGCACAAATCAATGCCAGGAGAGCCTCTGTGGTCCCTGGTGTGAACACCAGGCAGCCTTAGAAAAACTCTTTTCAGATATGCCGCCACCGTACCTGCATTGTACCCTTGGCCCATTCTGACACCCATGTTTGCTTCAGTCTTCAGAGCTGACAACTCCTGTCTCTTCAAAGAGTTCTACAGTTTATTCTCACCCAGTATTCAAGTACCCCAGGTCCTGCTCCTTAAACAATCATGAATGTAAAACATGGGCAGTATAGAAAGTACATACCCAGGTGAATAAAATGGAGACGCAAATGCCTTTCCCATAGACCCAGTTCAAGTCTGATTTTCTTGTATATGCAAACAGAAACTGTCTATGCAAAAATAAATATGTATATTCAAGGAATATAACACATGTATTTACATTCAGATGTGAATTTATTTTTTAAATATACATTTAGAGCAGTTTCTCTATTAGCTGTGGTTTTGTTTTTATGGTTTTGGTCTGAAAAATATTAGGTTGACAAATACAGAAAAAACAAACCCAGTGAGCTATTTTAATAACACATTCTATACTAGACTGTTTTATTATTTGTTATTGCTATCCATCTCCTATTGAGCCCAATTTATAAATTAAACTTTATCACAGGTGGGTACAACTGCATATGGTGCACGTGTGAGCGTGTGGGTAGGGTTTGGTAGGGTCTGCAGTCTCAGGCATTCACTGAAGGTCTTCAGTGGGCTCTCCTGCAGAAGAGCTACAGCTTATTGTTTAAAAACAGATCTTGGCAACCTTTGGTTATTAGTGCATATTATCAAAAGTTTTTGTGGAGAAACTACCTCACTGTACTGGCATTTTCTTTTCCCTTAATGATGGGTTTCCAGGAAGTGGAAACAAAGCATTTGAGGTTATGGGACTGGTGCTGCAGCTGGAGCTCCTGGGCACCTGGAGATGCAGCCTCTACACATCCCTTCCTGCTTTCTCATCCAGAGCTCCTTCCCTCCCTCCTGGTATGTCTTATGAAGATCAGCATGGCCCACACTCTCCATCCTCTGCAGCCCCCTTTGCTCTCTGGGTCTCAGCCCCAGTTGTCCCCTTGGGCGATCTGCTATTTTCATGAGCACATTTAAGGTCTTCTTGGTTTTCCTCTCTGGGTAGAAGAGGCACCTTCTGGTGGAAATACCCATTTTGGGGAAGATGTTTTTGACCTAACATGCTTGGTTTCAGCTTCTCAGCTCGAGGCATTTTAGAAGACGGGGTGATGGGGCAGCTCTTGAGAGGAACGCCTGATTCCACAGGGTGAAATCTAAGGGACAGAAGTAGATTGCCTGTGGATAATTTTTCTCTGGGTTGTTGAAGGCCAGGTGAGGAGCCTCCCACCATGGTTTAATCCAGCTTATACGTTTGATGGTATTTTGTTCAGAATGAAGACCTCAGTGACAGGTGAGTTCTTCCTGTTGTATTCTGGAAAGCTACAGTGAGTGAGGCAGAGTTCAGAACAAAACACGGCATTTTACTTTTGGATGAGAGATTCTTCCCAG